AGAGAGAGAGAGAGAGAGAGAGAGAGAGAGAGAGAGAGATTGTTCTTTGCACTCACGCCATGCACGTTAACGTTAGCTTTTTTTACCATGTTATGGTCTAGTGGAGGAAGAAGATATGTCTTTTGTGCTGTTTTTTTATTATTTATTTATTATTATTATTGTTAAATTATTATTATTTGTTATCTCTCTGCTTTTTTTGGTGGTGGTATGTGACATGGATATCATTTATACTTTTTTAATTCCATTATTGTACGGGATAAAAATACATGTTGGGATAATAAAGGTACATTTGTGGTATAAAATCCTCGTATTTTTTTTTTCTTTGATAAAGAATTTTGTGTCCTATCACAACCATAATAAGTTGGAGATTTAAAAAGGTAACAAAGACATTGTGTGTGTACATGCATGATTTAATCTATTTCGCCCTAGTAATTTACCGATTGGCCTATCGAATTATGTGTTGATAAAATTTGAAGTCGACATTTTGATAATGTCGCATTTTCGATAATTCAATTTGTAAGTCGTCATTTTGATAATGTCGCGTTTTGAATAATTCAATCTATAATTTTTTTTTTGGTAGCTAGCGTAGCATTGTGTTTGCACCATCATAAGCAGACTCATCAATTAATGAACAATTACATTAATTGTTCATGTTAATTATTGAAATCTAATTAAAAAGACTACTATATAACATTTTCTTTTTCCTTTGATCAAGTTCCAAACTAATTAATTAATTGCTTGTTGATAACATTGAGATAATGTTGCCGATTTTTTTAATATGTTAATCAAATCAATTATTGTATTAAATAAATATAAATGGTAAAACCTCTTTAGTTTCAGATGGAGACTGCATGATAGTCCACTCACTCCCAATAACTAAAGGCTTCACTGTGTACGAGTTAATTTACTCACATTTATTTTATTCTCAAAATTTAATTCAATTTTAATTCAACCACACTATCTTTAATATTATTCATATTATTAAATAATATAAACCAATTTTTCATTCTTACATCACATCAATATTATTTCACTATTCATTCACTCCCATACTTTTAACTATATATCATTTCAAATAATTTATCTCCTACTTTTATATCAAATCAACTTTATTTATTTTCTTAAAATATTATTTTAATACATTTTTAAAAACTCTACTAACAACTAACCATACTATTTTTTTTTAAAAAATTAACTATAGTTAACCAAAATAATTCATTTTAGACAAAATATTTAGTAAATAAGCGAGCTTAAGTTCTTACGCAGCACGCTGAAACCCTATAATGTTCCAGGTCTTCTTCCAACGTCCGACTCTAAGGTCGGCCCAGGTAAACGACCACGAACGTCGTCCAGGTACTCTCTGAACAGCTCGCGGCTTCAATAACCTGTAAGCAAAATATAATCTTGCCAATAATTTGTATATATTATGACTGTTATAAACGTTCCAAAATTCTTAATTTGTCAATAGATGCATTTTATATTTGTCATGGTGAAAAATAGTAGTGAAAAGGGTACTGCACTAATTTATATAACTTAATTTTTGAAAGATATATTTTATTTTGGCATTAGTTCGAAGGTTCGAACAAGCACCTGGAACTACAGAAACAGGGAAGATCTTTGCTTATTTGTTTCCTTAATTACAGTTATTTTATATTCCATAAATAAGATATTATGGATCTTATTATGGTACTTTGTTTTGTATGAAATCGGATGAGATAAGGAAAGGAGAGGCATGTATGATAAAGAGATCAAGGAGAGAGAGAGAGATTCACTTACCAAATTCTCATGCTATAATCAAGGAAGGAAATCAAGGTTGGAGT